CTGCAGAAGTTGGAGGCCCGTGTGAGGGAGTTGGAGAATGAGCTGGAGGGTGAGCAGAAGCGCCATGCTGAGAGTGTCAAGGGTCTCCGCAAGTCCGAGCGTCGTGTCAAGGAGCTCAGCTACCAGGTGGGTTGCCTGAGGTGGCCCTGGATGTTATCCACTGGCCCTTTGTCCACAGGGCCTTATGCCTGATGCTATATGTGACTTGCAACATGGCTGACCTGGTAGCCAGGGAGACACTGGGGAATTAGACCACCCATTGCCTCTATGTCCAATACTTTAGTGGGACCCAGAACATGGTAGGCCTGGTGGTCATGAGCCACCCAGTCCACCCCCCAGCATCCATGACCCAGAATCTCAGGTGAAACCTTATCAGGGACAAAAAAGACACCTTCACCCAAGAGGACATCCCACCTTGTGCCCCACAGCTGAGGCCACCAGAGAACCTCCACTCCCCAGGATCATCTCTAACTGTCTCCTGACCCTCGTGGCTCTGGTGATGATCCAAAGCATGGATGGGGTCAGGTCCTGATTCACACGTGTCTCACCCCACAGACAGAGGAGGACCGCAAGAACCTGGTCCGGCTCCAGGACCTGGTGGACAAGCTCCAGCTGAAGGTCAAGGCCTACAAGCGACAGGCGGAGGAGGCGGTGAGCAGTGGAGGGCAGCTTTGGGACCACTCTCTAGGAGGGACCAGTGTGGGGTTGGGGTGTGAGACAGGATGTAGGGAGTAGCAGGGAACCTTAGTGTCGTTAAGGAGTGGGCTGTCAGGGGCTGAGGAAGGTGGGCCAAGGGAGAGGTGGTGGTGGGGGTGGAATGGCCGTGGGACAGGTGACTAGAAAGTTGAGTGGATGTTTGGATGGATGGAAGGCTGGATAGATGATGGTAGGTTGAATGGCTGGCTGGCTGGAAGGTGGAATGATTGCATAGATGAAAGGTTGGACAGGTGGGTGGAAGGTTGGTTGGGTGGATGGAAGGTCGAATGGTGGAAGGATGGATGAAATGTTGGCTGGCTGACTGAATGGATGTACAGAAGGAAGGCTGAATGGTGGAATGCTAGATGGATGGATGGATGGATGAAAGGATGAAAGGATGAAAGGATGAAAGGATGAAAGGATGAAAGGATGAAAGGATGAAAGGAAGGAAGGTAGGTTTAGTGGGTGGAAGGTTGCATGGATGGGATATTAGAGGGCTGGTTGGTTGAGTAGATGGTTGGGTAGCTGGAGATGGAATTGCTGAAGGGACAGGTGGGTCCATGGTAGGCTAGATGGAGCAATAAGAAAGTCAGATGGAAGGACAGCTGGCAGGGTGGCAGGAGGCCACATGGAATTGAGGTGGAGCCCCACTGATGCCCCTGTCCCCCAGGAGGAACAAGCCAACTCCAACCTGGCCAAGTTCCGCAAGGCACAGCATGAGCTGGACGAGGCGGAGGAGCGTGCCGACATCGCTGAGTCCCAGGTCAACAAGTTGCGGGCCAAGAGCCGTGACATTGGAGCCAAGGTGGGACCTCTCCCTGCCCCACAGCTGCCCCATGGCTGCCACATGGCTGCCCCCAGAACTCCCTCATGTTTACACTCCAATTTTTTTCTTTCTCTATCAGAAGGGACTCAACGAGGAGTGAAGCTCTGGATTCCCAGCTGTATTCCCTGGACCTCTAAATGCCCCACCCCTGCTCCCAGCCCCCTAACCTTGGTCAACCAATAAAAAGCATTGAGCAGCAGCAGTTTGTGTGGGGCTGGGTTTGTGTTGGGCTGGGTTTGTGTGGGGAGGGTGGAGTTGTCTCATGACATGGCACCCACAAGGTGGATGCAGCCCACAAGATCACCCACTAGTGTGCAACATAGCACACCCCACAGCATGATGCAACCAGACACAGAGTGCAACATGATGTGACTGATGGGGTGTACCTTAACCTCAACCTGCCCCACAGTGTAACTCAGCCTGCCCCATGGTGCTCCACAACCTCTACCTGCCCCACACCAACCCATGTCCATGTGGGAAGACACATGTCCAGGGGCAGATGTGGGGCTGGGGAGGGAGGGGACCAGGAGGGGAGGGGAAGCATCTGAGTCCCCCACATATGGAGCAGAGCCTGAGTGAACCCCTCAAGGATGTCTTGGCTCCTGAGGCTGCAGCTTCTCCTGCTGCAGGTGCTGATGTCCCTCCAACTTGGCATCAGTGTTCCCCTGGCCACCAGCTACTCTGTCCCACTGCACACCATGTCCCACCATCCCCCATGCCCTACTGAGACTCTGTCCCGTGTCCCTCCATCCCTCTGTCCTTTCCATCCATCATCCCACAACCTCCTGGCCCACCAACCCTGTCTATCTCCCACAGTCCCTCCACCTCCTCTATGGCCTCCTAGTCCCTCCAGGTTCTCAATGTCCCACCAGGTCCTGCTGTCCCTCTCTCCCCTGCCTGTTCCTCCCCTTC